GGGGCTCTTCTACAGGAAGAAAGCCAACCAGCCACAGATTTTCCGAGACTATGCAACATGTAACTCTGTGTGTGTGTGTGTGTGTGTGTGTGTGTGTGTGTGTGTGTGTGTGTGTGTGTGTGTGTGTACATTTAAAGCGCTGACCTTCTGTCTCTCTGTGTCTCTCAGATCTACAACAACAACGTGCTGAAGGACTCCTTCCTGGGTCAGGTGACGCTGCCCGCCGAACAGGGAGAAATAAAGAAAACGTTCCACCTGAAGGACAAGGGCGATCGCCGTGACAACGACCTCTCTGGTACCATCACTGTTGCGATATTGACGAGCTCGATACTCACCGGTATCTAAGATTTGGAGCCGGGAAACATTTCTGAAGTTCCACAACGCCCGGAAATGTCTCACAGACATATCCATAGACTGTAAGTAAAAGATGGATGCAGCTAACGAAATGATATTTCTCAGCAGCATGATCTCATCTACACAGCCTGAATTTTTGTAGTCCATTTTAAGGATGTTGTAGTCCTTGAAACAGGCAGCAGAGAAAAATCTAATTCCTTTGAATCCTCATGAATTCTCCACATCTTTCCTCCTTTTGCCTCCTTCATGAAAAAAACCACAGGATGGAATTTTTTGAATCTAACAGAGACCAAAAGTGTTTTTAAAAAGTCCAAATACCCACTTCAAAAAGTTTCAACTGGAGGCTTCAGAAACCAGACACGGCAAACCAATGGATAACATGGCTGTGGCTGCTGCCATCTTTCTTATACAGTCTATGGAATATCCTGAAAACGTCAGTTTGATTGTAAAAATTTGTTTACACTTTCACGTTTTCTTTTTCCCCAGATTTAACTTTCTGTCAGCAGCTTCTCTATGTCAGTTTTTATTAGACAGTTTAATGTTTATCTTTAATTTCCACGCGTTCATTCCTGACGGCCGAGGTGAACTCTGGTCGCGTGCTCTCGCTCGTTATGAAGCTAATACTGTTTACGTGTCATCCTCGCACAGGACTCTGTGTTTGTTATTCATGGAAGAAACATGCCAAAGATTTTTAAAATCTGCCACTTCATTATTTGTACCAGCAGTCTGTAAAATATCCGGACAGCAGACATGTTCAGACGTGCATGAGATTATCTACCTGCAGCAGGTTTGTGCCGCCTGCTGTCGTCTCTTTGTAAAACTGTCCCAGAGTCACTTTAATCTTAGTTGAATATAATAATGATTTTTTTTTTGTGATGTTTCATTATAGATTCAATGTAATCTCAGTGCTCGCTTCGCACTTCATTATAACGCCTCCCTAGTTATCACGACCCTGAGTTGGAGAGCAAGGTCTCAGCTCAGTATTTTTAGGGTTTGTTATTAAAGTGCTCAGTGAGTGTAGATCACTCGGTAACACTAAAATGACCACTTTGTCCATCTTTGACTTGATGTGTGTAGACCTGTGGATGAGCTGTGTGCTCACAAACCCGCTGAGACCACTGAGTGAGGGGGCAGCTGCATTCTTTCTAATGGCCAGCAGAGGGCAGCCACTCTCCTGTGAGAATGCAGCCCTGCTTGAGTTCATGGTGCCAGTTATTTGTTTATTTTGTGATTTACGGCCAGTATTAGGGGGAAAAGCAGAATAAACACGGTGTTCAGGTGTGCAGTAGGCTTTCTGATTACTGCAGAAGTCAGAATCACAATTATTTTAGCCTTTAATCTCAATTTTTGAACATGACTGAAGATCTGGGCTCCTTTGGTAAACTTTGACCCTGGTCTTTCTACACCATTTACTCTGGGTGTAATCCATATAGTCAAACTTTCTATTACTTCTATTTATATTACTCCTTCTGGCCTACAGTCATCGGGTAGTGTCTGATACCAACATTGTCCTACAAGATGATTAGTTATCAACAAACGCGCACTTCTTCAGATCGAGATCATCTTGTGTACTTTTAAAGTTTTTCGCTTTCAACTTTAAATCAAATCCAGATGAACCCAAGTGAAATGAAAAGGAGGTGAAGGGGGCACAGGGTCATTTGGCAGGGAATGAGCTTTTAAGTTAGTGTAAGCTTTTATGGAGCATACCACTTTAAAGGAAAGGGGTGTGTTCAATTTATAACAGGATAAAAGGAGAGCTTTGAGTAGATGAACGGCTCAATTATTCTGGTTTCAAGACAGACAATGAAATTCAGTTGCATGTCTGATATCCTGTTTCTCACCTCCACAAACGGGGTTCTGTCCATCTTTGATTACAGTCGATCTGTTTCAGTGCTGTTCAGTCTGATGTAATCAGGCCTGTAAGAATCTTTGTTTCTGTCTTATGTTCAACTCCTGCAGTGTCTGATGGTCGTTTAAATAAAGTTTACTTTTAAAAACTTTCCCTTTGTGTGGTTTGATGGAGGCACTGCACTAAAGTTGTGCTTCATAAAAATCCCACAGCCTCACTTCAAACTCACTGATCATCACAAAAGCCAGTTTGCCGAGTACTGCATGTGTCCTCAAAGTACATTTAAACTCTATAAATGTATCTCTACGAAAAAAAATAGAAATGATCGTGTAAAAGAAGTTTAAAATAACTGATCAGCAGTGTTTATGTAGGATTTACTGTGAAATCTTCACGTGATGTTTTCAGTTTCAGCTGTTCAAAACCTGCAGCTCCAAATGAAGTTTAGAAATAAAACCCCGTTTTTGTGTCATGTGATATCACAGCCACACCTGCTTTCGTTTAATGACCCATAATAACAGAAACAAGCATCGGTACTCGTGATGTGTGATCCCTTTCTAATATCTCACTGTAAAAATGTTAAAAGTACATTTTCAATACCGTGTGGTTTGATCTGCTGATCAATAATGAACCTCTTTTTCCCTTTAAATCCATTTGCTACCAGGCTCACCATGACCGTCTTGCATTCAGTTGCCTTAAAGTGTTTTCCAGCCCCAGGTCTCAAAATGCTGGAAAAATAAAGTGAAATAAAAAGCAAAAAATTTGGACTTTTACTCTGAATATTTCATGAGTTTCAAAGTTTTCCTGGCTTGATTAAAATACACCAAACCAGCTGACTGTGAGGAGTTCATCTGGGAAGTGTGGCTGTTTTCACTGGAATGAACAAACACGGAAAGCGGAACAGATCCAGGTGAAGGAATGATAATGAGACATGGAGACTGTTTTCGAGGAGATGCCGGGATGTCGGTTTTAATAACTTAGAAAACATTTATGTTACACCAGTACTACGGTAACAGTACAACAGAGAAATGGAAGGAGCCGCAGTCACATCCAGTTTAAACAGCTTCGGCGGCCGACACTCAGCACATCGCGTTCAGTGGAATGATTTCAGACTAGAGGCGTAAAAAGCACATTTTAACCTGCCCTTAATGCTAAACAGGTGAGTGGAGGGTCAGCAGAAGCTTTTACTGACACACGGGACTGAAAATTAATATAAACTCAGATCACTGCAGTTCAGCATGGAGGGGATTTTCCAAAACCCACTTTAAATCCAACACAACATGATAATGAGACAAACCGTCCCGCAACACCTGAACAAGCACGGAAAGTACCTGAAAGAATATTTACCAAGAGAGCTGGCGGTGAGCTTCGGCCATGAGTGAAGTATTAACCTCTGTTTTAGGGAACAGAGGTTCTCCAGCAGGAAGCTAAGCCTTTCCTGAAGCTCAGGAACAACAATAACAGTAATATCAGATTTAAAAAGGATTTAAAAAAAAGACTAAATAAACCATCTGCTCGCATGTGAGAACCTCCCACTGTTTGCATCTTTATTATCTTCAGCTCAGATATTTTGGATTCTTTGACGGTTCATTTAAAAATAAAAATGTCTCAGGCATTTCCCGTCTGACGTATCGGCGTCTGTGCTGTTCAAGAGCATCACTGGACACCGATTATTCTGTGATGTGTTTAAAGCAGAAAAATCTAATCTTTCGTGAACGTCGAAAGCTTCAGCCTTTGACCAAGTAAACTCTGTTCATAAAAAGAAGAACCAACAGGAAACTTTATTTTAAAAACATGAAATCTTTTTGTCTTTCCTTCCGTTTCTGCTGCCAGGTCTCTGTAAAGGAACTTTTTGTAAATTCCTGTATTTAAAAATAGTTTCAAACTTTTTTGATTTAAACAAAGCTGAAAGAAAAGAGATGCTGTGACTTTGTCCATTAAAGAGTTTCAGTTCAAGGTGAACTGGGGCTGCACTTTCCTGTAATGCCACTTTTATGCCACAAGTGAGTAAGCGTAACCTTTATTTAACCAGGCAAGTCATTAAGAACAACTTATTTACAACGAAGGCCTGCGGGAGTCAAGTGGACACGGTGGTTTAAAAAAAACAAAAACAACAAACAGAAGCACACGTCTGAAAACATCTCAACACAACTGCCAGTAAAACACTGCCCCCTGCTGGTGAAGTTTAGTTACATGCAGCAGAGGGTCATTACAAAAAGCACCTTTAAAGGGTGCCGTTTGTAAAACTGTCAGTTTAGAAATACTAATAAAAGTTAACAGCACAACGTAAAGATGTAACAGCTGCGACGTTAGCCTTGTTCTGAGCATGACCGCTCCTGCCTCTGACTGTAACGTCCAACCTGACAAGAAGTAGCTTTGCTCAGACAGGCGCCTTGTTTTCTGTGAGTCAGTATTAACGCTCAGGTTTGCGTCTATCATGATGGAAGCGGACTCGGTGGCCTGTGTAGTTTTTACACATCACACCTTTAAAAAGTATTCGAAGCTGAAATCATGAAATCATCCAATCAGAACCGAATCATCAGGGCTGAATTTATCAAACCACTTAAAGAGAAATGGATGATCTGTATAATGTTACAGAGAGAGGATATCCCTCATATGGTCATCTGTGGCAGAGATGCCCCACCCACCTGCCATTCACGATGGGCAGCCAATCAGAAGAAACTTAAAGTGGGCGGGGCAAAGACAGCTCATTTCAGATACTGGAGCTGAACTGAGGCCCAGTGCCAGATGAATACAGATTATTATGAACTTTGAATCATGCAGAACAGGCCCGCTGTGAGCCATCAGCCATTTATAAGGTCTCAAAGCAGATTCATCGTGATGGCTGTGAGGAAACAATAATATACTAATGCATTAAAAAAAACAAAAAAAACATGTTGACTGGGTTTGTACTTTTCCATGTATTTCCTCCTGTTGATATAATTATGCATTATAACTATATTACACTGAATTATATTTAGTATTTGAGTAAAATTAAATGATTTTAAAGAATCCAAAAACAGCTGCTCTAAACGTTTTTACACCTCTAAGAGCATTTTGAGGTGAACTCTGAGTAGTTTGATAAACGCAGGCCTGAAGTTTAACCATCATCTGAACTCTAAAGAAAAACTTCTCAGTGCCAAAACAAAGTCTCGGTAAGGTCAGCGGAAATGTTTGAGTCCAACTTTTAAAGGTGAGCTTGGTGGAAATTTAAAGATAAATGGAGCCTCTTTTCATTAACAGCAGGTTAAAGCCCTGACAGTGATTCGACTGTGTGCGACGGTTAAACAGAAGCTGACGGAACAAAACTCTGATTAGTGATCGGTGTTCGTTTTCCTCCCCTGAGCCTCGGTCAGAAATGAAGATTTGTTCCTCCTTAAAACGAGGCGTTCAAACTGTTAAAACGCTCCGGAGACGCGGGGACGGGACTGAGCCGTGAGACGGGGTTTTACTGGTGAACGGGCTCCACGCTGCTCTGATGGAACTCCGCTGCGGAAACAAAAACCGCTGGTTGCCGGTCGATCTGCAGGTCGCTCGCAGCAGCATCTCTCCTCCTCTCCTTCGTATAGAAAATATAACACTATATTTTACAAGAGGACTAAGAGAACAGAACGTCTATTATCTTACAAGGAACAGGCAGAGTATGTACAGCGAACGCGCCGGCACGAGGACGAGAGGAAGCCAGACACTTTGGATCCGAAGCGGTGACGTGGAGACGGAGCTCGCTACAGATTCAGAGTCTATATTTACAACAACTTCTAAAAACTTTTCAGCGCCGGGACCTCCGGACGATTAAAAAAGTTCCAGGATCGGTTAAACCCGGTAACAGAAATCTGATTTATTTGGTTCCTCAAAGCCTGGATTAGCACAGCCAGTGTTCACAGACAGCACAAACAGTTTAAGGTAACACAAAATGAAACGGCAGACGTTCCCTCTTCAGTCATAAACTCTCACATTAGGGCAAAAGTCAACTTTTTCTGTTGAGCTTTTAATAAACAGATCACAGAGCAGATGATGCTTTGTGACCTTTAACCCCTGGAGCTCTCCGTCACCCTAACCTCAGGACTTTTTAAAAAATCCTCCCAAATCCCAGCGGAGGACAAAATCATCACTGCAAAAACTCAGTTTGTACTGAGAGATGTCTTGTTTTGCTGGGTTAGAATGAGGCTCGTGACTGAGGCCTGGCAGGTAAAAGCAAAGAAGAGGAAGGAGGTGAAAATATGAGCTGATTATAGAGGGCGATGAAGGCCAGCGGCCGGAGCAAAGCTCACGTCATTCATAGCTGTTTAAGGACCTTTTTCTTTCCTACAAATCTGTGCAAATTAATAACAATGTGAACTGACTGGAGTGAATGATTCAATCGGGAACGCTGAAGGATCGAGACAATCGACCAATCACAGCCGGACATCATGTATCGTCGGTTGCACTGAACGTGTAGCCGTGTAGATCTGACCTTAGAGCTGCTTTGAAGAACCAAATTATCTTTGTGGAGCACAAACTGTTTAATCCGACTTTCAGTTTTATCTGAAAGTGTCGGTTTCATGGACCAGCTGCAGGCTCAGATTATTTTTATCTCAAATAATTACATTTTCTGGGGGCATAACAGGCAGCTTTTTTTCAGTAGTGATGTTTCATTTTTAAATGTCAATATTTAATTTCTAACTTCATTAGAAATTTGAAAAGTTACATTTATTTAGTGTAATTAACTTCGTCGTCCACCTGCAGTTCCTTCGTAGCTCACTGCGGCTCTGCATCCCACACTGAGAATCACTGTTTTATAAAATATCATTCAATAATGATTAACCAGTTTTCTAAATCCTAATATTTATATATAAAAGTTTTGTCCAAGCGACACTTCAAACCCACAAATATTCAGCCTCGAGAGAGTTTTCTCCGACCGTCACCTGATCCAAAGTGCTCGCTTTGATGCCGACACCCTCCTCGGTGCCGGCTCATTAAGTGCTATGAGAATGATGAAGTGCTTTAAGATGAAATACACGACAGACGAACCGCGCCCCCCCAGCTGTGATGGTGTCACACGGACCTGTCGGGTGGACGGTGAGGTGGAGCCATCCTGCTGCCGGGAGGCGTCAGCTCCGCCCGCCCGCTATAAAAATGGGTAACCATGAGTTTCTGTTCCAGCGTGTAACTGTGGACAATTGCGCTCTAACACAACACGACGGCGAAGAAGAAGAGTGAGGAACGTGAGTCAGAGTGAGATCCGGGCAGTGGGCGGGAGGCTTGAAAAGAAAAAGCAGAACAAAGAAGCGAGCGTTGTGCACGCACACAGCCATCATGACTGCAGACTGTTCTGGACAGAGTCTCGGGAGTCCCTCTGTTCCTCCTCCTCTCCCTCCCCCTCCTCCGGATGTGAGGGACCGTTGTGCCTGCCCTGCCTGCCCGACCCTGCAGCGTCTCTGGGCTCTGGGCCTCTGGAGGTCCGATGTCCGTTTGGCGGAGACAGGCTGCGGCCCCTCGCCTTTTCCTGAGCGTCGCTGTCAGCTCTCCTCTCCCCCGTTGAAGATCTTTTGGTCACCGTCTTCTGTCTCCCATCCTCGTTGTCCTCGTCCTCCTCATCCTCCTCTTCATCGTCATCTGAGTCGATGCGGTTCAGTCTTTTGCGGACCGGACGATCCTCCTCCGATGAGGACTCAGAATACGAGTCGTCGTCCTCCTCGCCCTCCTCCTCCTCCTCGTCCGTCGAAGGCCGCCGTTTCTTCAGCATCTGGGCGAGCCGTTTGCGCCGCTGCTGCGACAGGATCTCTCTCCTCTTCCCCCTCCCCATCTTCTCCAGATCCTCCTCTTCCTCTCTGTGGGTTCTCTTTAACCTCCTCCGCTTGTCTCTCTCCTCCTCGGCCTCCTCTTCCTCCTGCAGTCTCCTCTTCAGCCGCCTCCTTCTCTCTCCCTCGTCCTCTTCGTACCTCCTCCTCCTCTTGTCTCTCGTCCTCCTTGTCCGGAAGTCTTCCTCGTGTCTCCTCCTCCTGTTCACTCTCCTCCTCTGGTCATCCTCCTCCTCGTCTTCATAATCGTCCTCCTCTGAATCTCTGGAAGAAGCCGACACTGAAGGAAAAAAAGACAGAAAAAGTCATTATGAACAAAAATCAATGAATCCTAAAATCAACAAAAGGTAAACATTTGCTTATTGTTGTGATACTACCACCTGCTGACTTACTGATGGATAAAGTAAGATATATGACATTTTTTCCCCATTATGGAGATAAATCTGGAAAACATCGAGCAGATTTCTCCTTAAGCTGATTAAAACTCGTCCTTTACGCTCTGATGGTGACTGACCGTCGCTGTAGTCGCTGGAGAGACGCTCCTTGCGAGGCCTGCCGTGGCGCTTCACCTTGTCCTTGTTGGCGGAGGCTCGCGAGTCGTCCGACGACTCCGACGTTTCACGGTAGTTGACTTGTTGGCGCTGGCCCCGCCTCAGGCCCCGCCTTTTTTTGTCACTGTTGCTGTCCGTCATGTCGCTGAACTGATCCGAGTCTGAGAGACCAACAACCAACAAGTGAACTAGTTATCAGTCAGCACTGAGACACCTTTCCATCTGTCTCCCTCTCACTCACACATGTAATCTGTTCCTATCTGAACCTCCCCGGCTCTCCCCGCAGATCACAGTCCACAGAAACTCCTGCCTGACCTCATCTGTCAGCGAACTACTCAGAGCCGACCCCCGATGTAATCCCACCTCCACCTTTAAACCATCCGTCGCTCCCACTGCACACCTGACCACTGCCTCTCTGTACTTGTGCATGTTCTGCATCACCCTCACTTTGCTCTTGGCTTCCTCGTGCAGCAGCACAGCTTCTCGCCATCATCTGTTTTCTCCAGATCAACAAAGACACAGCGCAGCTGCTTCTGAGCTTCTCTAAACTTCTCCATCAACACCCTGAAAGCAAACATTACATCTGCAGAGCTCTTTCTCAGCATGAAGCCAAACTGCTGCTCACTGCCTGCCTGTCTCACATCTCCCCTGTTCTGGAAAGTCCAGGACTCCAGGATTGTGTTAAATGTGTCGTTATAATTAACTATATTTATAGTTTCCTGATAATTGTCTTAATATTTATTTAATCTACTGTTAAACTTCTTTATTCCACTAAATACTCACAACTCAGTCTGTAATAAAATCAATCAATCTTGCCGTCTCACCCATCTCTTCCTCGCTTTCCTCCTCTTCCTCGTCAGAGGAGCGTCTCCGCCGCCGTCTCAGCCGCTTCCTGCCCCGCCCACGGCTCCTGCCGGGTCTGTGTTTAACCACTCCTCTCAGCGCCTGTCTGGGGCGAGTTTTGCTATCCCAGCTGCCGGCATCACTGCCCGCGTCTTCGTCTTCTTCCTCTTCATCGTCGTCTGCTCCGGATGCGCCGAAATCTTCGTCCTCTGAGCTGTTGAGAGGAAGAGGGGGATAAATAAGCCGGCAAACAAGATATGAGTGAGAAATCTGGAGAGAACCCGCTGTGTCACCTGTTGCTGAGCATGAACTCGTCTTCGCTCTCCGCCGCCGTGCTGTCGCTCTCCAGGTCGTTCAGTCTCCGCTTCTTCCTGTTCCGTGCAGCGTGAGTCTGGCTTCTAATTGGCCGCTGACTCTCCTTCCCGTCCTCTGACAGGCTGGTGGGGAGGTCTTTGCCCCGCCCCGCTCCTGAAGCGAGAATAATGCACGTGAGTGCTGAAAAATCGACTTTGGGTGAAAGTAAATGAAAGCAGACCGGATGTTCTCATTTATTTCATCTGTTCATCCTCAGTGCAGCCCCTCAGCTCTTCCTGTCTCAAACAAGCTCCTCCCTCTTTAAAACTGCTTTTTTATGATTGGCTGCCCCTCATAAACTGCCAGACATGCAGTCTGAAGTATTTGTACATACAGTGATTAAAATAATCCAAAATTTGAAAGTCAAAAGAATAAAACTGTGCTAAGAATGTAAAGGAGAATAACATTCATATGAAGACACTTTGATATATAAACCATGTGAATGAGTATTTAACTGGGATCTAAAAGAAGGCCTTACTGGGCCTGCAGTTCCTCCACTCACCTCCACAGAGGTCCCTGAAGTCCTCCTCTATGGCCTCATCAATGGCATCATCAAAGTCATCAAACCTGGAACAAAACAGCTGATTGAAGCCTCTTTCTGTCATTTCACTTTTTTCCCCCCACGTGTGCGGGTCATTAAATCATCCTGCAGGCAGCGTTATAAGAGCCTTGCAGAGGTCAGCAGCCAGAAGCATAACCCTTCCACCCATCACCAGAACTCACAGACACACACGAAGGTGTCGTCTTCGTGGCTTCTGCTCATTGGAACGATGCATAAATACAGCCACCATATTGCCTCCCAATTAATGTAAATCAATGACGGCAGAATTTTCAGACGGTTTCTGTTGACAAACTGAACTAAAAGTAGTTCTAAGATTTTCTACGTTTTTTTTTTATATTATACTTCAACAACTGAGAGTCAACTGTAAAAACCTCCTCCAGCACCTTGAACACCCCCAGGCGACACCCACCTGTAGCTGATGTGCTTCCTGGTCCTGGTTGATCGCCTTCCGAGGTTTTTGCTCTTTTTGGAATCCTTCTTCTTCGCAGACTTCTCCTCTTCCTCCTCATCTCCCTCCTAGGACACCAAACAACGTTCTTTTAAATGCTCCACAGTAAAATCTAAACTCGTACAGATTTAAGATGCAGAAGATGAAACGCAGTGTTTATGTGAAAGCAGGAGAAAACAGCGACACTGGAGCTAGAAGCCGTGTTTGTTGCATGTTGATTGTGCCTCACATACCTTAGTAACAGCTTTGATTCTTACATTTGTTTTTTGGCACTTTTGATTTTTTTTTTTTCAAACATTTCAGCGAAGAGAAAAATTCTAACAAATGCAGATATTTAATTTCCATCGTCTGAGGCAAAAGGAAGTGGGCGGAGCATCATTCCAATGAAGTGACGAAGTGGCCGTGCTCTTCATGTACTCACAGGGATGATGTTCTCCACGCTGATTCCTACGTACACCAGCCGTTCCCTCCTGACAGATAAGAACAGAGAAGCTGTGTCAAATTTTTAAACCGGTATGCTGATCGCAGCATTTTCATCCAAACGTGTGTGTGTGTGTGTGTGTGTGTGTGTGTGTGTGTACCTTCTCTCTGCTCTCTCCTTTTTCTTCAGAGCGCTGTCCAGATTCTGCAGTTGTTCCTCCAGTTTCTCACACAGCAATTTCTGAACAGAGGAAAAACAAACCACCGCAGCTCTGTCACTCTGTGATCTATAAATTATACACTGATGTCGACTCATCTTCCTCACCTCCCTTTTAAACTGTTTACACAGTAAGCCAAGCAGATGGGCTGGTCTAAGTGAAACTACTATGCTTTTACATATTTTCTGGCAAACATACACCATTATGACAGATACTCATAACAAACGTGGACCCAGTGTCAAATAAAAAGCTTCAGCCTGCTTTAAATGCTTTGTTCCAGACAGTTTTTTCTACACTTGGATCTGTATGATGTCAGCAAACACGGATCCTCCTTATATGGTCATCTCAAGTTCACAGCTCAGGATGTGACCATGGAAGCTCTGTTTACGAGGGCCAGCCAATCGAAACAAAGTCTCAAAGTGGGTGGAGTTAAAAGGGCTTGTTTCATGGGGCCGTTACGATCGCCACATCTGCTGGTGCAAACTGACTGATGCCATTTTAGCCTCTTTATTTCTGTGATCTGCTGCGTTGTGCCGACGCCGGGTTGAAGACACGAGTGTTAATGACACAGAAGCTCAGCGAGTCTCAGGTTACAATGAGGGAGATTTCTTTTCTTCCAGTTGTAATTCTTCTCCTCTTTTACAAAAGCTGATCTGGAGCTTTTGTCTGAGTGGCGAACAACACAGTGAGTACTCGCACCCCAGCACTGGTAAACTGGTATGTAGCTGCCACAGTCAGCATACAGAGTGACCAGTGTGGCAGTGTGAGGATGAATTAAGGAGAATTATTTCAAACTGTGACTCATGCAAAGCTACACTGGAAGGATCCAGGCTTTTGTTAACTGGGAACTTGTTAATGTGGCGTTTATATTCACTCTTTGTGAGCAAGCATCAAGTATCAGTACAAAACTGCTTCCTCCTGTCAGTTATCTGAACCATAAACAGGACTTTGGGAGTTATATTCTCATCAGCAGACATGACGGAATCAGTCCATCCTCTCAGTGTCACACTTACATGTTGGCAGGGGGGACAGAACCACTCTCCATCAGGGATCAACATGAGAGGCGGCCGCAGACAGGCAGTGTGGTATCCACTGTCACAGGAGTCACACAGCAGGATCTAAGGACAGACACACACACACATTAAACTCCACACAAACCAGCAGAGATGACAGCTTCTAACATTTATGTTTTTATTCAGAGAAAGTTATCAAACATCTGCTTTGCAGCCTCTGAGTTTCTGTTCGTGTCTCTGTGATTTAGACATGATTACAGAATTCTTTCAGAGTGCAGCTGGAACTGGTGACAGTTTACAAACAACACAATAAAAAATGAAAAGGTTTCAGCAGCATTTTAGGTTCTGCACAAAACGATATACTCAAAGTAAAAAGACACAGACCCTCGAATTATTTTTAGAAATGACTTTAAGGAAACACGATGCATGATGGTGAAAATGCTCAAGTTGGAGTTTGATAACGGGGCGTCACAAACTAATGAGTGACGTCATTCTGGCTACAACCATCTGGTCTGCTGACCACACCCCCATTGACCTGCTTCTAAAACTGCCTCCATCCTCCAAAAACAACAAAAAAAAAAAGACTTGCAGAAGATTTTGGGATGTTGGATTTCCTCCCACTCAGACTCCTGAGCATTAAGTCAGGATTATACTCCCACACACGTGTGCACACAGACCGCAGACACCTTAAACAAGTGTCTTCTAGTGTCAGCACAGCCTGGAGGATGAGCTCTCACGTTTATGTTCTCATGATGAGTTCAAGTCATGAGGACTAAAGCAGAACCGGGCGCAGCGTCCAGACATCTCTGTATCTGTAAGCACTCACGCGAGCGCACACTCACCAGTTCGGGGTGGTTGGGCAGGCCGCAGTGAGTGCAGGCGTCCTCGCTGGGAATCTCCTCGGATTTATACGATTCCTCCTCTGAGTCGCTCCCTCCTTCACTCTCCTCCTCTCCCCGTTTCCTCCCCCTGTCCTCCACCTCCCCTCCCTCATTAAGTTTGCGCCTCTTTGTGCGTATGTTTGACCACCGGGGGCGCCGGTGCCTTCGTTTACCCTGGAAGTACAGAAAGCCAGAGGGAGAACGAGATGGTCACAGAGACGAAGAAAAAGAGCAACAAGGTAAAAATGACCTGACAGGAACTGTTACCCTTCGCTTCCTTATCTGCTCGACGGGTTCAGTTTTTTTGTCTTTCTTCGTAGCTGAGCTCTGCTCCTCTTCATCCTCTTCATCCTCATCCTCCTCCTCTTCTTCCCTCGTTCTGGTGGGTAGTGCATGTTTTTTCTGTGGGTTCTTCTTCTGGCTCTCAGCCACCTTCGAGCTTGGCCTGCAGGTTGGCAAAGCAGATGATCTTCAAGAAAAGAGGTTTAGATGGGATGAATTTATCGTCACAATCAAACCGACTGCAGCTGAGAATAATGGACAAAAATAAACAAACATTACTGTGTAATCCCCCAGCTTCGTGGATTTTACTGAACACATACCTGCAGATCCTCGCAGACCTCCTCAGCGGCCTCCCTTCCTCTTGCGTCTCCAGCTCCCTCCCTTTCTCCTCCTCCTTCATCGCCTTCCCCTTCAGCTTGTTTCTCCGGTGGGGAGGAATCTTGATCTTTAGCCTGATTCCTTCCTTCTGGAGCTCAGAGGAGGCTTCCTCCAGCAGTCCCTGCCGCTCCTCCGAGGCCTTTGCCTTTTTCTGCTCTGCTAACCCACCGTTGACGCCCTCCTCCTGGTCGTCCTTTTTATCCTGTTGGTCCAGTTTCGGAGGTGAAACAGAGCTTCCCGATTCTGCCTCCGCTTGTACTAAAGTTCTTTCATTCTTCACTCGGTTGTCTTTTTTTAATCCCTCTGCCACACTGAGCACAGACACCTCCCTGCTCCTCTCCTCCCTCTCATCATCCTGCCCAGTTTTCCTCTCCTTGTCCAGCTCGTCTGTGGTGTTTTTACCCTCATCTTCTGCTGTCTGCCTCTTGGGTTCCTCTGCATTCTCAGACAGCGAGGAAACGCCAACAGAGTCCATTTTTGAGGGTGTCGGAGCCTCTGTTAGTGCATGAGGAGGAAGAGGAGGAGGGGGAGGAGAAGAAGTGGCAGCTCCCGCTGGTGTCTCCCCTTCTGTAAGGCCCTTCCTCACCAACACTGACTGCCGGCTCCCTTCACGTTGTTCCTCCGCTGCTCTCAAGTCCCGGAGGTCTGAATTTGGCCCGTTTTGTTCCTGCTGCTCGGCGCCGGGCGCTCTGTGACGCTCAGATGGGCTGCGGATGACTCCTACGTGACCCACCACCTGACCTACTACCCCATTTTGCCCATCTTTGTGCGGCAGGAGCAAAGCTCTCCCATTGGTGAGTTCCAGCCTTGATGCGCTGACGACCAGATGCGGCTGCGAGGCAGATGAACCACCAGGGGGCACTAAAGAGTTAGACAGCTTGGCCTCCCTTCCGTGACCGTCCTTGGCGTGGATCACTGACGGGTTACAGACAATAATACTGCTGCTGTTGGTCTTGTTCAGGTGATTGCTGTGGAAGCTTTCTGCGAGCTTGAGCTCCCTCTTCTTCAGTGGTATCTTGGCCTGCTGGCTGCTCCTGACGACCGCTCGCTCCGCTTCCTCTTCCTGTTTAGCCACGGGCGCCATGACAACCGATACTGTGTTCCTGGGGGCGTCGGCGTCCCTCGATTCTGATTTGATGACTGTGGTGATGGTGCTCACGCGGTTATCAAAGACAGACGGTTTGAGGAGCGTCTTCTCCTCCTTCACCTCAGCATCAGCGTTTTCCTGCTTGATGGGCGGCGGTGTGAGCTCCTCCTTCACCTCTGCAGAAAGAAAAAAGATTTTAAAGATGCACGCAGTTAGGTTGGTTAGGTAAATTGGCGACTGGCGACCTGTCCAGGGTGCACCCTGTCTCTCGCCCTATGGTAGCTGGGATAAACTCCAGCCTCCCCGCAACCCTGACAAGGATAAGCGGAAGACGATGGATGGATGGATGCAACTCATTTTGATTCTTCAGTCTCTTTCGGGTTGCTCGTATTTTGTTTTGGTCATTTTGTATGTCCTTGTTGGGCATTTAGTGTGTCCTTTTAATGGTTTTGCTAGTTTTGGATAGTGGATGGAAACCTGAGGCAGTTTCTTTCACCTACATACCTGGCCTGGTTTGTTTTTCTCTGTTTTGAGGGTCAACCTTCTTGCTGTCCGCGTACTCCTCTGAAGTCTTTGAGGCCTCAGGGTTGGTGCTTCTGATCGTCTCATCCCCTGCATCAATATGAAAAAAATACAATAGTTTGAATCAAACGTTTGTTTATTATAAAGGACAGAAAAAATCTCAACAATTTTTGCCGTTAAAATTGCTTCTGTAGGGTCGAATAATAATTTTTTTTTTTTGTGGTGAGATGCGGGATTTTATACATTTTTAGACAAAGATCAGCCGCTGTGGGCTCAGATTATTTGTTTTGACCTGTGTTAGTTGGATTTGAGATTACTCAGTATAATTTTTGCCTCAATGGAAGTTATCGTTTCGCTGTTGTTAAATCAGGAATCTCTCAGGTTTTGGTTGCATGTTTTTTTAGACATGAAGTGTAACCTTCAAATGATTTTGAAGGTTTACTCCATTTAAACTATAAGGTTATTACTACAATGCATTTACAAATCCTCTGTGCACTGATGAGAACTCAACTATATAAACTCAATAATCCAGCGTACCAGCTTCTTTCTGTCCAGGGCTGGCACTCCTGGATCCAGCCTGGTTCTGGTCTCGTTCCTGATTGTGGTTTGGATCAACCTGAGCCTTCAGCAGCTCCAGAGCCTCTGCCAGGTCGTTGCGAGTCCTGAGAGGATGGGCGCACATAAGAGTGTAAGCAGAAAGACAAACATGAGACAACCTACATAACTTTAGCCTGACACAAAAGTACAACCTAACGATGCACTTCCAGGTGGATCCGTCCAGATCGTCCTGCTCCTCCGTGTACAGCCGGATGTTCTGCTCCTGGTCCAGCTGAAGCCAGTACATCAGGCCCTGCCGGTCCCGACCTACAGGCTGCAGACGCATCTTCTCCGGGTCCTCGTCGTTGACCGCCGTTTTGAACTTCAGGTTTTCGTCAAACTGACACTCACAGAGGTACTGAAGAGTTTAGAACATCAGTGTAGTTAGCGCCTTGTCTGGAGAAGTTTCAGCCTTTTATACAAACTAAAGTAGGGTGTCATACTTTCAGGATGCTGGACTTGCACTCCATGGACATCTCCTGGTAGCCCTTCTGTTCCAGCTCCCATGCCCAGGTGCTATTCAACTCCTGGCAGACCTACAAGAAACAGTGATTCTGTTAGGATCAAGCTTTCAGTTTTAACTGCGTCCCTTTACCCACTGACTGACACGTTACCCTTCCTTCCTGACTCCTGAGCTCATGTCAAACTCTCACCTTAGCCAGGTATTTTTCCCAGCGGTCAGCAGACACAGACCTCCCCAGTTTCCTGAGCAGCTTCACATGGAGCTCCACGAGGGGTTTAGGAACTGGAAAACACAGACAGGGCGATCAGAAACACGACACAGTTCATCGTAATGTTCCAGAACCAGTGTCAACAAACATTCACCCCACTGAAGTGGCCTCGCTGTGTTATTCTGGTATCTGAACCTGATCTCTCACTTCTCTGTGTGCCATTTCTGAGCTCAGTCACTCACAAACTGTCGGATAGTGCTTACAGTCTTATGGCATGTTGACAAATTGTTAAATTATTTTATTTCTCAGCAGCCAAAGAAAGTGTGTAACACAAATGTTCCCATTTTTTTATTAAGAGGGTGAAATATGCACTAACCATATCTGCAGAAAAATCCTTTAGACAAATCAAAAGCAAGAAGATTTGTAGTTTATGCTAACAACCAACCACAGCTGAATATCAATCTAAACAGGACCACCTGTAAACTGTGAAAAGGCAAAAACAGCTCCTTTGACTGGCATGTACCACTTCAGATGTAGGGGGGGCTTTTTAATTCATTTTTATCAAAAGCTGCGATAAAACCAGGCTCACCCGAACAAATACACTGCTCACTGGGCCAGGTATCATATATGGCAGCTTCATTTTTCTTATCACCTCTGCACAGAAACTCAGTCCAACTAATAAATATTTACTGTGTCACGGGTACAAAATAAATGAGCAAGGCAGCTACTTAGTCGACTAAATGCTTGATTTTCAGGGAATATTTCAGCCAACTGTCAGCCCATCACATCAGTGGGTTAAAAGCCATAAACTGAGATTCTAAATGAAACATTATCACAGTTTTATTTCATTAGTCTGAAGAGTGGCTTGGCTCGTTTCACTTCACGTCTTTGTCGTTTGAAACTGTTTAGTTTTTATTAATTTCATTCTTTTTTATTATTGCTGTCAGAGCCATGCTGTATGTTTGTGTCACAGATCCTGCCACCAGTAGGGGGCGCAAGAAAGTTGCAAATAAGGCAGAAGTATTTAATCAGCGAGTTTACCTGAGACAGGTGCTGCAGGAGAGAAAGCACACTTTTTAATGTTTAATTCTTTGAGGTATGCTGAATCACACATTTAAATAAAAAATAAAAGAATGAAGATCTGAGATTGATTGAAGAAGGTAAGCATTAAACTATATTTAAATTATATCTGGATTTAAACTGTGGAAATGCTTCATTCATTTTGGCCATTTCATTTTCATTGCATGCTTAAAAAGATGTCCTGCTGTCACAGCAGGGACCATTTACTTGGTCATTAGAAATATGGTAGAGTACTCTTCAGGGACTACATTTAACTGGTTTAATCATCATTACATTACAAATAAAAACACACTCTAAAGGCAGACAACTCACAGACATCCCAGACTCAATAAAACTACCAAGACTCAATCTAAGGATGTTTATTTTTCTTTTTTTTAGCAATTAAATTTTAGTCAACAGTGATGTTGTTGCTCTATGTCAGCGGTACTAAGTTTAATTAGCACGATTTCTGTAGGGAAAATAAAGAGTTTGCTATTACTATCCTGTTGACCTTTATCTTACTCAAATTCAACTTGGATCCTTTTTTAGTGTTAATGATTAATTTTTTTAAAAATGTGGAATGTGAGTACAGTTACCAGGTTTTCCTCTTTCTGTGGAATTCCACACCATTTTTAATCCCCGGGCCCACTTATTACACTTTATTTAACTATACTAATACTTGTACTTATTCACTGACTTGGTTTTAATTTTCTTAGCTGCTGAAACTGAAGAGTTTTCCAGATCTCAAATAAGTAAAATAATCTTTGTATTATTATATTGAGACAATGACAGGCTCTAGTTTACAAAAGTCAGGTGAGTCTCAGGAGAAATGTTTGGCGAAAAAAGAGAAGCGCAGATCTGTGTGCATCTCAGCTGAAAAACAGAGATGATCAGCAAAAATAACAGCACACTCACATCACACCATAACGACAAACTTTTGCTTCCATTCATGTCTACTGTGTTTGCTTAGCAAACACGATAAGCATGAATGTTCTTCACATTTCAACACTAAACCTGTAAAATCCATAGTTTGCTTATTTTCTATGTTATAAATACTTTATAGTTAAATATATATTTAAATATAGTTAACTGTGTGTGGCTCTAAACATGTTGCTATTAACAGTTTAATATGGTAGGGTAGGTGTAATAACTTCACCTTGTCTGTGAATAATTTGTATTTTTTTCCATTTAACTGAATATGTGAACTTTTAAGAGCACAGTGTCTTTTTGACGTTCTTAGGCTGCATTACAAAAATACAAATAACCATATTTTAGCTGCAGTTAAATACAGAATAACATACTATATTAAATTCTAAAACTACCTCTCAGCACTATTACCGTGTCCCACTTTGCCCCACAAAAAATATGCTTTGTCTCACATTTAGTTTGTTGGGCTCTGCTTCTGTTAACCGTTTGTGTAGACTAAATCTATTTATAACTTTATTATGATTATATTATTATCATTATTGTTATTATTATTTGGGAACTCAGAAAAGAATGGGGATTGGGTCAAATCCAGCCTTAAGACATATTAAACTGGGCTTTATGGAAGTCCTTAAACGCCTGTGACTCGTTGTGTGGTCTAGTGTGAGGCTTTTACGCAACTCCAAAATTTGGGGGAAATTCCAGTTTTCTCTGTTGGCACGGTAAACTGACAAAAAAAAATCCCAGAATCACATTTAGAATTCAGATTAGTAATGGTTATTACTTATTTCAACAAAAATATCAGGGATACATTACTGATGACTACCATGGACATTTTAGTTCTTATGTTTATCTGAACGCTATGGGCTAATTATACGCTAGTAAGCACTAGATCTAACGGTCATTTAAAGTCACCAGCGAATAAGAAGCGATTTACAAAGCTACTCATTCGACAGATATAATCCTGAAATGGATGTTTATTAAATCCTAACGTGGTGTGTTAAGTGTAGCGGCAAGTCTTCTACTTTTATTAAAAGTTGACGAAATAATTGAAGCTAACTAGTTAGCAATGGCTGGAATCTGCGCCTTCTGCGCATGCGCACATTTGACAGCCTTTCACTAACGGCCAAAAAAATAACATCCAGTGTTTTCAGCTAACGTCGCCGCTGTGCGGTGACAGCGGTCTGAAATAGCCACTAAAGCTGTAATACATACACACAAACAGCACCAATAACCTACTGGACACTGCTGTCAATTCAGCCCGCCTGCCAGTGAGGCAGCCGGTGAAAAATTACACCTGACAGCGCTCCGGAGCGAGCTGGTTGGCTGTGTGTGTGGTCACTGCTGCATCATGGCTCCCACATCAAGTTTAACGTGAGCGGATCGATAGCAACCTCGACACAATCATCGATAACCTGTCACCTGATATCAACTAAAACCCCGCGGGACCCCGGGCCAAATGTCGTGCCCCCGGTCTCTTTCACCTAACTTCAGCACAGAGTCCAAACTGTTAAATTCAGAGCGTCTGCTAGCTCTATGTTAGCACGCCAGTGTTTTCCAGCTGCCCGAACGTTTCCTCGGAAACTGGGGAGTCGGACTCGATTTCTGCGAGGAGAAAAGTAGCTCTAACCGGGACCCGAAAAAACGCCACAGCCGATCTGAGCTGCCTAAACTCTCGGTGTGATGCTGTCCTACTGGGCCATAGACACACACACAGGCGCACACACTCCAGTTTTCGTCATCTTCATCGCGACCGTGACGACGATGGTGATGGTGGTTGTTGTGGTGGTGTTGGCCCCCTTCTTTGGCTTCAAGTGTCGCAGCTTTCCAGCACTTCTTCGCCCCACCGCCACCACCACCAACACCAACACTACCATCAACCGGGCTCTCACCTGTAGTCGTGTCCCGTAGATATCTCTCCATTTGCGGGAAAGTCATCTCGGGCAGATCCAGCGCCGCTCCGTACCGCTCCAGGAACGAGCAGACCTCCGCGAAGCTCGGGCAGAGCAGCGGGCCGGAGCTCCTCAACACCGCCGGAGCAGCCATCTTTCCAGGCGGAGAGAAACAGGAGGGGAGGGCTCGGCTCGCTGCTGGGATGCGACTGTGTGCGAATGAAATGAATGGAGGGAACGAAGCGTCCACCGGCGTCAGGCTGCACGGAGGGAGAGCGCGGAGCTTCCGGTCCAGACTTTCACAATAAAACATCCAGGTTATGAAACAGACAAAATACATACTTGTCTGAAAGGTTTGAACTTATTCTGTCCCAGGGCCAAAATATCAAACACAATTTACAATAAAACCACGTTGAGAATCTAAATAAAATGAAACATGGCACAGAGTCGCACTGTTACATTAAAAGACACAAAACTTGGAGTTCTGTTAAAAAGAAAATAGCAAAGAGGTCAAATAAAGAGATGGATGAATAAAATGTTAATATGATACAACAGGGCGTTTAATAATTAGAAATCTTAACAAATAGAAGCAGGTGTGGTATGAGGTGATAGAGATTTCTGCCCCCTGGCAGCAGAGCCGAAGTTTCTCCAGGAAGAGGATTATTCATTTATCATTTATAGCGGTTCATGATCTCAGTGTCTACAGTTTACTAAAACTAAAAAGCAGGAATGAAAAACATTTTTTTAACTTGCTGAATTTAAAAAGAAAAAATGACTGCAGTGAAAGTGAAGTGAACCGTAACACCAACAAAAGTATAGAAAAGAAAAGAAAATACACAGGAAATGTATTTTGTTTTAGTCTGTGTCAAATTTATCAAACAAAATTAAGCCCGAGAAGGGGGATACATGTGTGTTTGAGACAGATGTGGGTCTCTATTTACATCATCTGTTCCATTCACATCTGGCATCTGACTCATACGCCCCATGTTATGACTGAAGAAATAATAAAACGGAAGAGTGATGACGTCGCTCCAGAAAGCGATACTAAGCTGAGAAACAGAACAAAACAAATCTCCAAAAAAGTTGATTGTGTTCATCTGGACGTAGCGTTTTGTGGGAGAAACGTTTCGTCACTCATCCAGGTGACTTCTTCAGTCTCAGCTGACTACAGGTTTCCCCGATCCTATAAACAGTACATTTGCATAATGACTGAAACCAGCCCACTGAAGGATCAATGGGCTGGAAGGTCAGTTCCTTAATCTTAATTATGCAAATTCTCATGACCATTGATCAACAACCACTGACCAAAACCCACCGATCAAAGACCACTGATTTTCACTATCCTACCCTGGAACACCACCAAGTCATTGGTTCCGATATGTGGATGACACCTGGGTGAAAATCAAATCTCAGGATGTACCACAATTCACGGATCACATAAACTCGGTGGACCGACACATCAAATTCACCAGAGAGGATATGAAAAGTGGCAGGTTAGCCTTCTTAGACTGTGAGATTTCCATCAGGAATGGGGGACATCTAAAAGCTGACGTGTACCATAAACCTACACATACAGATCAGTATCTAAGGTTTGACTCTCATCATCCACTGGAGCACAAACTGGGTGTCATCAGGACGCTACAACACAGAGCGAACACCATCCCCACTGACACAGCGGCCAGAGAGGCAGAAGAACATCAAGAAGGCCCTGAGTAAATGTGGTTATCCCAGCTGGACTTTTGTCAAAGCTGGAAAGGCTCCTAAAGAAAGCTCCAGCCGATCCAGGAGAGAAGGACAACCGCTGCCCAAGTGAAAACCTGTAGTGATCCCATACGTGTCAGGAGTATTGGAGCAGTTGAGACACATTTTTTCTAAACACCGGGTCTCTGTGGCTTTTAAACCCCAAAACACGCTGCGCCAAAAATTGGTCCACCCCAAGGAACAGAATCAACTTTTTGGAGATTTACTTCCCTGGATGATTGAGAATGCATCAAGAAAAACAAAACAAAACAAAAAAATCTATTTAAAAAATACAAAAACAATAACTCATACCCATTTTGATGAACCAGCTTCTTATTTGCACACCTTGGGAACATATTGGCCCCTTTATGATCTCAAAGCACCCACACAACCTCATGATTGCTGTGCTTATGTTTTAAAATCTTAATATGCTTTATTCTGTTTATTTTGCATTGTTGAATTTCAGATTCCAATAAATTATAATCGTATTATTACTAAATATGTGTATTTAAATTATTATTTTATTATTGTTTACCTTAGTAAGGTCAATGTCTTGATACGTTACATTGTATTGCACTAAGCTATTTAAAAAAATCGGTTTCCTGTGTGGCTTTAGGACTTTTCCACCTTTTGGGATTAATAAAGTGTTAGTTATCAAAAACGTTATATCGATAGTCACTGAAAGAGAGCGGACAGTTGAGGGTTTCTTTTTCCCTCCAGCTTCTCGGTTATGTTTTCTAGTGTAACATCCTCCCATTTCCGGCGCATTTGTGCCCATTTCACTGTAACTTGACGCAGCTGGAGAAGTTTGGGAGGACCGCGGAGGGCAGAACGAGAATCCCCAGAATTCATAGCGATAGACCAACATCAATATGACTTCAAAATGGTTTTCGTTCTGACGCCCCAAATATCTCCAGAGCAGAACAGCTCATCTCAGATGGCCACACTTCAGAAGAGGCGCAGGCGCGGACCGGGAGCCTGACGCAGGCACAGGATCCCGGCCGCTCCGCATCACTCTTCTCCACACTTCAGCTTGAAGAGCTGCTTGTTGTTGCGTTTCTATGAATCAGTGTTTTTCCTCTTTGCCACAGAGCTGCTGCATGCTGCGCAGATCCACAGTCACGCCGCCCTGGAGGATGCTCCCTTTACGGGCTCCAATCTGAGCCGGAAATCCCAGCTCAGAAACAACAAATCGTGCCGGGGAGGAGGGAAACTCCAGGGTTGATTAAGACTTTTATAATATCATCATTTCTCTAAATGAATATCGTGACCAAAATAATTAACTTTGCTGACGTTACTGGATACCTAATATAGAAAATTTGTCGAGGAAAAGAAAAAGAAAGGACGACAGGTGGCGGTATAGGTGATACTCAGTCACCTGTGTGTCTCTTTTGTTGGCAAATTAATCGCTCTGAAAGCTGAAGAGAGAGTTTGTGGCCACAGCGCTACAACAGATAGACAAAAAGAGCAATTACACGATTTTTAACACGATATTATAATTTTAACTAGTAAAATAGCAACAACCCAGCATTTAAACTGTGCCACAGCCTTCATCCGAAGGCTCCCTGAGTGCAAACATTAGGGACCAGTCACCCTGTTTGAACACTAATTTTTAAAGTTATGTTCAAGCTACACATGAACCCATCACAAACACACTGAATACCTCCATTCAAAGCACAGACACAGATGAAGGCAATCATGCCAGACTTTTTAAATAGAAAATGGGAAACAAGAAGGAAGTCGAACTCTTTTATTAATATCTTTATATTCAAGAATCAAAGGGATTAAAATAAAACACCAAATTTACTGAATCAAAACACAAGCTGCAAAGATTCAAGCAGAGAAAGTGTGTTTTAATTCAATTCTATTCAATTTTATTTATACAGCTCCAAATCACAACAGCAGTCACCTTAAAGTGCTTTATATTGAAAGGTAGACCCTACAATAATACATACAGAGAAAAACCCAACAATCAAAGAACCCCCAAGAACAAGCACTTTGGCGACAGTGGGAAGGAAAAACTCCCTTTTAACAGGAAGAAACCTCCAGCAGAACCAGGCTCAGGGAGGGGCGGGGCCATCTGCTGCGACCGGTTGGGTGAGAAAAGGAAGACGGGATAAAGACATGCTGTGTTTTAATGACCGGCTGCTCTGTGGTTAGCTCCTGTGAGGGACCCAAGCAGTGAGGCTCAAGGACAAAGTGTGGAAGCTAATTAGATTTTAATCAGATAGAAGAGTTATGAGAAAAATTCCCCAAACTATGAAGAAAAGTAGTTGTTAAGTGAACAGGTTTAAAAATGAGGTCAACCAAACACAAAGGAGGGGAAGCTTACACAGCAACTGTATATAAACCTGAACAAATGGACATATTAAATTAACAGATAATAAAACATGTGTTCCTTTATATCATATTTATCATATTTTCCTTCCCAGATCCTCTGCAGTTAACGAGTTCTTTGGAGCTCGGAGAAAACATACAAAGTAAATATGATTGTTTTAATTAAATGTGTGCACTCCTCCTAGAAAACTGAATATATTATATGAAAACCAACAAATGCCTTTAGTTATATCAGTGTTCAAATAAAAAGTCATAATGGATTCTAAACTGTGTGCAGCAGTAAGTATAGTTTCCTAACATCACGTGCATATAAAGATGTGTGTATATGATTGTGTGTAACAGCAGCAGGAATAAGTTTGGTGCTGAAGTGTCTTCACTGTGCCGAGACTCTGCGCTGCCGCCCTAATGTCAGAGGAGAGGTGTTAGTTGCTGTTCTGAGAGCAGCATCATCTCCCAGGTTTCCAGCGGTTTGTGAATGTCTCCTGTAAAGCTTTGTTTCTCGTTTATGCGCAGAGATGGTTGTGAGCTGACATACTTACTGGGCCAAATCATCCAATGGGAGCCCTGCGCAGGGGCCCACCCAAGAGCTGAGAAACAAGCAAGCAAAGAAAATGAAGAACTAGAATATTATTTCCTGAAACCTTTAAGCTTGAAAGTATATAAAAAAAAAATAGGTAGAGTGCAACAAAATCATTCATGTTTCCACTGCACTGCCAAGGCCATTAGTCTCCACCAAACTGAACTTAGTGTGAAGCTACAGTCCTTCCAAAATGAGTCACAGAAGCAGGAGCTGTTTTAGCAAATGAAAGGAATATGAGAACAAGAGGAGAGAAAGGCCGACTGACCCACTATTGAAGCAGCAGCTCACGATGCATTCACACTTATGGAAAAAAGCTTAATTTTCCATCTGATATCAGCTACTTTAAAGCTTTTACTGAAGATATTTTTGTGCCCTAACTTTTTATAGCTGAGGTGCTCTGATTTATGTACTCATACATTCTACGTGTAATTATTGATGAAGGGGTGGAAAAAAATGAATAAACTCGGTGAGGGCTCATCAAACTTTGTACATTTGTGTCATGTACATCAGTCCTGCTGGGTGTCCGTGTCTTAATCAGCAGCAGCAGACCTGCAATTTAAAATGTAGTCTTTCACACTTCTTACTGAAGCAAACTGAAGCTCATTCTGCTCTCTTTTTATTAAAAACAACTTGACCTCTGACCTGGACCTTTGTAACAGCACTGGTCTGTATGCCTGCTGAGCATGCAGGGACTGTCTACAAAGTCCAGCACTGAAATACATCACAGATGGCTGCCCCAGCCTACTTCTTGCTCAGTGCTTGCTCATAAGGGGTCATTTGATTGTAGCGTGTTCTCTGTATTATTGTAGGGTCTTTACCTTCATTATAAAGCACCTTGAGGCGACTGTTGAATGAATATCTTAAGAATCAACCAATAAACACAGTTTTAGTCATTTGCATGACTTCTGGAAACAGAAGTTTCACGATCCCTCGGAGAGTGTATAAAAGTTAGTGCTCTATCCTCTGGATGAGCACCTAACTCTGATGTGTGTAGCCTGCAATAAATTTAAGATCAGTGACTATTTATATATCAGATAAAATAATAGAAAGAAAAAAAGAAAGATTTTTCAGCAGAGTTTGCTCGCCGATTGACTCCCGAGCTACAAGTTACAAAATCCCGCGCTGCACTTGAAGGCAGCAAGAGATCGGAAAATTCTGAGCCAACGTGAAGGCATCATGAAGATGAACGGAAGGAGTTTTGAGTCTTACAGGAAGAGGATTGATTTCGAAAGTTGTTTTGTTCTATCTGTTGAATGCCTGGCGGCCACACCGCCGAACAGCTGCGCTGGAAAGCACCTGAAGTGATTCCCGCTGCACACAGCCTCCACCGCGGCCATGACGCTTTGATACACACCTGACGGAAGCAGCAGCAGGTAAGCGCGGGTTTATGATGTGTGCCAGCTTTGAGTAAATCACAGCTTCGAGTAAATCACAGCTTCGTTAAAAGTCACTCTACCGTCTGTTTATGCCGCTTCATCGCTGTTAGCCACCCCAGCCGTCGGGGGTGTCAAACTTGCGACCCGCCGGCCAGAACCGGTCGTTTTCGGTCCACCGGCGGTTTTTAAAGTGTGAAAGTGAAAGTACAATTATTAATAAGTCCATATTTTTCATCATGGTGATGCATTACAGAGGAGGGAACGTGTCTGGAAGGTTGGAATTATTGTTAGATGGAGACAAACAGGTCAAAAACCATTAAGAGATTTAAAAAAACAACAGCAACCTTGTTTAGATACAAAAACTCTACATTTAAAGGTTTTCTGTCCTTCCTCTGTGGCATTAAATTCTATCTATAGCTTTATGAGGTACACTTTTCCATTTGTTCATTAATAGAAATGTCAGCCAATCACATGGCAGCAGCTCAGTGCATTTAGACATGTAGGACCAGCTGATTTTCAAACAGCATCAGAATGGAGACTTAAAAGTGACTTAAGTGACTTTGAACTTGGCATGGTTGTTGCTACCAGACAGGTGGGTCTGAGTGTTTCTGAGAGTGGTCAGAAAATGAGAAAATATCCAGTGAGCGGCAGTTTTTGGAGTAAAGTGGTCTTGCTGATGGCAGAGGAGAATGGTTGGATTGCTTTGAGCTGATATGGAGGTAACAGTAACTCAAACAACAGACACGTGCTACAGCCAAGATAACACAGAAGCACATCTCTGAATCCACAGCGCGTCAGAGCGCGCGGCAGATGGGCTGCAGGGCCAGACCACAACCTCTCAGTATTTTTGGTGCATCGCTGTTGCTTCAGTTTCCTGTTCTCAGCTAAGACGACAGTTCACACGGGGCTCCGACGTTAAACAACAGAAGGTTGGAAGAAGTGTCAGTTTCTGCTGTGGGTTTCAGATGGTCGGGTCAGAATTTGGCATAAAGAACAGTATGGATCCTGCCTTGTGTCAGCTGTTCAGGCTGCTGCTGGTGTGATGGTGTGGGGGATATTTTCTTGGCACCAACTGATCATCACCTAAACACTACAGCATACCTGAGTGTTGCTGCTGACCACACCCACCCCTTCATAACCACAGTGTTACCTTCTTTTTTCAAGCTCTTAAGACACGAGGCAGGAAACAAACTCCAACCCTGATTTGTATTTTTTTTTAAAGTGCCATGGAGATTGACATGAGGTTTTGTAACACTGTCATTAGCGTCAGGTATATTTAGCCTGATAAAACTTACTTCCCAAGTACAAGAATTCATGACAAATTGAAGTACTCTTCTTGTATTTTCTAATTCTGCTTCTTTAAGCTTTAAAACCTTTGGAGGGACGTGTGTTGTTATGCAGTCGTCTGTCCCACTTCAGATCAGGTCGGGTGTCATGAACTAAAACATGTTTGACGCTCCGGAGTTGCGTAGTCAGCCCATCTTTGAGAATAATGAAGACTTTGCATTAAAAATGAAGAAAACAAACAAGTAAAGCAAACAAAGCAGGCCGATGATGTCGTGGGAAGATGATCACGAGGAGTTTTGAAATCCTTCTTTATTAAAATCAGGCTTCGCTTTACTCCACGAGTCTGAGGTTGCACAGCTGAGGAGCAGCGGCGCTGGTGGCTGAAGTGGCCTGTACCTCATGACTCATAGTGACTAATCTTAATCTTTGTTCATGGCATGACGCTGTGGATAATAACCGTGAGGCTCCAGGCTTTAACAGAAGGTGATTTTAAAGAGCTCTGTGCTGTTATGTTAATGACTACAGAGCAAAAGTTCTCAGCTTAACCAGACTTCCAAGAAATGCTCATGATGAATATTTAGATCAGGAGGGAAACTGTGGATGTGAGAAGGACTGGCACACACGGTGAAGACAAAGAGGCTGTGTTGCTTTACTTAACAGAGGTCTGTGTGTTTTCCTGCTATTTTTGACCCTTTGACAAGTGAAATTGTGTGCGAGCTTCAGTTTATTAAGAGGAAATTGTTGGAATATTTGTTCAGTAGAGCAAAATGAAACCAATATCCCTGTAGAGCAGTTTGCTTTGCAGACAGAACCCGTACCAAACACACTACAAGATCCAGAAAACGCCTGCTGTCACCGTGAATCATGGAGGGAAACATCGACATGACTGTCGGTGTCTCTGAGTGCCGGCTTTAAGAGCTGAGCATGAAAACACTGCTGAGGGTCTGAAGTGATGCTCACAGCTGAGCCTCGTTCCATAAACATGTTGAATTTACGCCGAAGGTCACTCGGAGTGGCACAGCCTGACTGTTCCAGCCTGTTTAATGCTTTTCTACAGTTGATAAAATAAAAAATAAAGGTGCCCAAAGATGGAAGATTGAGTTCAGAGGGTCGGCCTCAATAAAACCCTGTCCAGCAGTTTCTCACCCTGCACTGGATCCCCTCAGGGATCGATCGTCAGAGCCGTCGTGGACCAAGAGTTGTCTTAAAGTATGCTGACAGCTCGCTGATTATGAGTTTTCTGCAGGAAGTGGAGCAGGAACGTGGCCTGACCTTCACTAAGTGGTGTGAGCGGTTTTTCCTCCAAAGACCAAAGAAATGTCCAGTGAGGAGGCTCCTTCATCCTCCCCCTGCGCCCATTTCGGTTCATGTGAACCAGCAGCTCTAAATAATCGAGACAAGAAGTCAAAGTTTGATTTAAATACAGACACTTTAGATAAAACGGTAGATCGGCTGTGGTTTGCCTTTCATTTTTAGCAGATATTCTCAGTACTGCAGATGGAGCGTGTCCTTTCTGTCTGTGATGATTTTCTTTTCCCGTAGATTATCCCAACTTTAATCCCTGTGACTCTGAGTAATAATAGAATTTACACAAATTATCTGAAGGCATGAATCTGAATCTGCCACATGACTGGCTAATTTTCATGAATGCACATGGAGCAGTGATCCTAATAAAGTGCTCACGGAGTGAACACTGACAAACAGGAGAAAGTGGAGTTAAAGAAAGCTGCTGTTGGTGAACAAAATGAGCAAAACCTCATTATGGAATCTGGAATGTCTAATTAAAGACTAATACAGGTTATTATGTTAGTGCATTATTTAATTATGGCTGCGTTAGAGCGATATTAGGCAGCGAGCTGGGAAATTAAGAAGCTGCTGTAACAGGACACGTTCACCTCGTGTGCTGCTTTGCATCGCTCACATTAAATTTGCCTGGCAAAAAGGCGACGGGAACTCGGGGAACATGTCAGAGCCGTGCAAACTCAATTTAATATAATATATAAAGGCCATTTTCACAGTTACAGGCCCTCGAGGTGCACGGGTGTGGGTCGAAATTTGACAGTTTTTAATTCGTAGTTTCGAAGCATGTTTCACACCCTCGTAACTTCAGAAGTACAACAGATAGCCAGATGAAAACAAGCCCACGCTCAGCGTCTCAGTGTAAAGCCAAAATTATTTTGTTTCGAGCAAATTTTTCTGTAAACAACTTTGATCATTAATATCACAGGATATGTCAAAGTTTCTGAATATCTGCTATTTCTAAAGACATTAGTGCCCAAAAATACTGCAAAACATTTGTGAAAATGCATCAGATTTAAGCCAAACGTTTTCATAGTATGAAGGTAAAACAACCAAAGTCATGGCACAGAGCGAGCTGATTTCGCATTACCTCTGTGAGACGTGCTAACGGAGATGCTTGTTGATTTGTGTCAACAGGTAAGAGCAGAGCATAGACATGGCCATTGCACACGTGGCTACGGAGTACGTGTTCAGCGACTTTCTGCTGAAGGACCCGAACCAGGCTCGATACCGCAACGTTCGAACGGAGCTCGCCGTGGACAAGATCGTGACCTGCGTGGCCGTGGGCCTTCCCCTCCTCCTCATCTCTCTGGCCTTCGCTCAGGAGGTCTCAGTCGGTGAGTGAAGCCGGGGGAACGAGCAAAGTTGGCTCCATGACGCAGGTGACTGTGTGATGGTTAAATGTTAGGTGGTAATCTCATGAAGAAGAGTTCATCAGAAGTCACAGAATCCAGCCTGAATAGCCTTTAAGAGACTCCAGCTGCACATCTGTACGCGCCACTGTCATATTTCTAATCATAGAAACGTTTTGTCAGTTTTCTTCTCCTAAAGCTTTTCATTTATTCATTTTCTGTAGTTTTCCGCTTCTAATCACTGCCCGTGATGTTTTTCAGTGCGTGTCGGCTAACAGACGGTTCTACCCTTTTCATAAATATCTTCTCCTAAAACACTTCCATTTCCTCTGACGCTGCTTCTGCTTACATGTGGCCGTTTTTCTGTCCTCGCTTCTTGGGTTTACCTGCAGTTTTTCTTCCATGCTGCTCTTAAATTGTGTCCGTACTTTGGTGGCAGATGCAGAAATTATGTTCATAGATAAAGGAAACGGCACAGGTGTGATAAACACAGACAAATTGGTTTATAAAAACATTTCCTGTATAAAATATGAGGTCAGTTGGGGTTTTTAGCCTCTCGGGTAGCTTAGTTCCTCGGATCTTGTCTGTGTGGGTCTAAAGTGGTCTAAAGATCTGAACTTGGAACCAGTCCACATGTCTAGGTGTCCATCGGGAAGATGCTAAACTCCAGATGTGTTTGAATTTGTCTTACAGCAGCATGAAAACACAAGTTTCAGACAAACAACAAATGAATGTTTAAAAAAGATGAAAGAACCCACAGAAGGCCTTTTATTCATCGCCTGGCATTTCTGACAGAACGTCTCCTGAACCAACCAGCTGGCGTCTCTAACGCCGTGTGACTGATGTTTTCTTCAATTTTATTCACAGTCATGTTTAAAAAGCCTTACAGTCTTAACTCGAACCTGTACGAGTCCTGTCTGGGTCACTTCATTCTGTGAGAAATCTTTCTAAGAAATCCACTCAACCACAGACAGATCTGGTCTTGCAAGAATCCTGATCTGTTTCCAGGAAGTAGACTGTGGACTGAAGGTTATGCCGTGTCACTCGTGTTGATTCCGACCCTGCTGCTGGGGCTCATTTCATGTCTCCATGTTTCTCTCAGGTACTCAGATCAGCTGCTTTGCTCCGACTAACTTCTCATGGAGGCAGGCAGCTTATGTGGACTCCTTCTGCTGGGCGGCCGTGCACACGCAGACTCTACCTCTGTGGCTGCACAAGGTGTGTACACACACACACACACACACACACACACACACACACAGTGCTACAGTTACTGAAAAGGTGTAAGCCATCTTAATCTCACTGTGTTTGATTCAGAGTGAAAGGAAAGCTTTCTGACGTTCACAGGCAGCCTCGGGTTTGAGATTTCAGGGTGTGGTTCGGATATTTTTAGTAGGGTGCATTCTGAGGACTGTAATGGGCGTGCATGTTTCCTTACATACCTACAACGATCTTTCTATAATGGCACCGGATAAACCTGCACAAGAAACTGACGATCAAACAGCTGATCGTGCACAAAAGCACAGTTAACCCTCAGAGCTTTGCTTTCTCCTCTTCATGGTTCAGGTTTTTGTCGTTAATGAGAAAGGGCATACCCATATCTTTCTTTTGTTATGATTCACCACTTTTTTGGGGGGGGTTTGTGGTTCTTATGTCACTCAGTCTGTAGTTGGTTTCATTTCTAAGTAAAATCCACTGGAGTCTGGAGCCTAATCACAGAGAGAAGCTTAGATTCAAATCAAGCTATCAGTTCACCTTCACACTTTCACTCTTGGCTCATTCCCTCTCTAAATCTGCTGATTTTGTTTTTGTTTTTCATTTAAAAATGTTTGTTTGTTTGTTTGTTTGTTTGTTTGTTTGTTTGTTAAAATAAAGAGTTGATATTAAGTGAGTGTGATCGCCGTGGGAAACTTTGTTTCCACCCTTTTTAATTCACTTTATTTTTGGAGACTACGTGGAGGCATATAAACTGTCACGTCTTAAAAAGGCCACATTTTACACCCAGTCCAAGTGATCTGTCTGTGATCTGTCTGTGATCTGTCTGTGATCTGTCTGTGATCTGTCTGTGATCTGTCTGTGATCTGTCTGTGATCTGTCTGTGATCTGTCTGTCATAGTTTCAATAGCAAAATGGAACCGTATTAATATCTGTCACCTAAAGAACAGAAACAAGCTGACACTCAATATAAGAGCACCAATAAACAAAAAGGCGAGTTTTGAGAAGTCTCTTAAATGTTTCATAAAAAGGTCGATGTGAAGCTCAGAGCCTTCAGCCCACAGTGAAGGCTCTGAGCCCAGAGGCGTGGAGGTTGGGCGAGGGATAGAAAGCAGACGCGTGGTTGGGTGCAGCAGGTCAGAGGGGTGCTGAGGGGTCAGTGGAGATTTATTTAGGGTGGGGGTGATATGTGCCCAGAGCTAAGAGCCTGTTAGAAAGTGAAGGTTTGGACAGAGTGGAGATCTTTCAGGGCTTTGCTGGAAATCTCACTGCAGTAATCGGGCCGGCTGGCTGAGGGTCTCTGCTACAGAGCCAGAGAGAAGAGATGTTCATTTAAGTTTATTCATATCTGTTTAATTTCTTAAAGCACTTGTAAACTTTATGGTTTATGATGTGAGATACTACTGTACAGTAAGACCGGAGAACTGAACACACACTCTCTCATTTCTCTATGAAAGTGAAACTGTTATCTCTGTCTGTTTCATCAGGCATTAGTTTATCAACGCAAACGCCAGCATAACAGCAGCCTCGGTGTCAGTGTGTCAGCTGTCCACACCTTTCTTTTATCAGCAGTCGTATTTGTGGAAACGTCACCGCTAATGTGATTGTTCGTCTTATTTAAAGCTCTGCTGCCTCCTCTCCTGTGTCCTCTCTCCAGTTCTTTCCTTACATCCTGCTGCTGGTGGCCGTGCTCATGTACGCCCCGGCGTTGTTCTGGAGATTTTGCGCTGCGCCGCTCCTGCAGTCTGACCTCGCCTTCATCATGGAGGAGCTGGACCGCTGTTATAACCGCGCCGTCACTCTGGCCAAACGGATGGCGACAGCGGAGCAGCCGTCCGCTGACAGGTACAGCACTTTACAGCCAACAGGGTGGGAAGGATGCACTTCATTGTTTGGGAGCATGGCAAAAAGCTTACAGTCAGTGGAATAACTGTTGCATCCACTGGTCTGACTGTGTGTTTACCAGCAAATCCATAAAGAACCAGCACGACCTCACTTTAATCTGCTCTTTCTACCCTTTCTTCCCACAGCGATCCCACAGAGGGCTGCTTCAATTACCCAATGGTGGAGAAGTTCTTGATGACCAAGCGCTGCTCAAGGAAGCTGATCATTTACTACTTCCTGTGCCGCGTTCTGACTCTGCTCACCCTGCTCTGCGCCTGCGTCTGCCTGGGCTACTACCTCCGCCTGGCCTCCACTACAGACGACTTCGGCTGCAAGCTGCGTGTCGGCCTGCTCGAGTCAGACACCGGCGTCCCCGACAGGGTGCAGTGTAAGCTCATCGCCGTGGGAGTCTTCTCCTTGCTGAGGTATTTTCCTGAGCTTTGCATTGAAGAGTTGATGCATCAAAAATCAGAATAAGCTTTGATTTGTGCTTTACAAACAAGTTTACCTGTGGTGCAATGATTAGATCTGAACTCTTTTGCTTTCAAGAATAGTAAAAACTGAAATTCATTAAACTGGGAATGGCAGACTGCAGGTACCAGGCAGGGGGTTAAATAAAGTGGCATAAATTGCAGTTCCTCTAACGCCCACTAGAGGCTGGCTCCAAAAGGGGAGTCAGTCTCCAAAAGACACATTTTTGACACATTTCATTGGATAAAAAGAGTTTTTTTGTTGCCATTATGCCAGTAGGTTGGTCTTTTGGGATACTTAAGGCCTCCATCTCTCTGATTACTCTTCTCAGCTTCGTAAACTTGATCGTCTTCGCCACGTTGATTCCAGTTGTGATCTACGCCAGTCTGCGTCCCCTCTACTGCTATGACCACGCCCACTTCCTTGAAACCTACCAATCACTGCCCACTGTGAGCGTCCTGCCCAAACCCGGTGGCCAATGTGACGATCTCTCGCTCTACCTGCTCCTACTGGAGGAGAACATCAGTGAACTGAAATCCTACAAATATATGAAGGTGTGTATTTTAAAGCATCAGAAATGACAAACGGCCGAACTTTGTCTGTGTTTATGTGAAGTTGTTTGACCATAAAATCAAATCATTCGTACATGAGAAACCAGATCCTTCTGTTGTGTTTGGAATAGTTACGTTGACCCGATTTCCCTCTTTATGTCCCATTCTCCCATTTCATGTGTTGTGATGAAATCCCACATTCTGATTGGCTTAAATAGATGTTGCACAAGAAACTCGGGGTTAAAAAAAGGCATCGTGGCTCTCTCAAAATGTGAGCATATGAATGAGAGCATGAAACCAAACATCATCCTTTTATGCCTGTTAGAAGAAAACAAAGTGCATATGACTCCTTCACATGTTAAATGCCAAACCTCTCCCAGTTTACCCTTCATTGTCAGAAACTGTCCCACATAAGCATGCTCTTTGTCCTACATGTGGTTTGGTAACTCTAATACTGGGAAAAAATATCTCAGAAAGTTGTTTCAGTTCATCTGGATGGAACATTTTCAGTGTGAGAAGCGTTTTGATCACCAAGTCTCAGCAGACCTTATAAACAGTATTATAAGAGTGTGACTTTTATCATCCACAGTGCCGTGATCCATTCCCTGTGAATAGCCCACATGACCACTGACCATTTATGATGACGCTCTCATGGTTCATTGTTATGTAATTGCACTGGTTTCTATGGTTACGCAACGTTAGTGTTTATAAGGTTGTGGAAACGTGCGGCCAGTTGAGGCGCGGATGAGTGAGGACACATTTCTCCCACTGAAAGCGTTGTGCAGGTCCAGAGAATCAACTTTGTGGTTATTGGACATGCATGAACACATAAAAAGTACTGCAAACTGAATTGGAGGCACATTTTTAGCTTTCTTCATATATGCACTTGTGTTTTGTTGTGGTGTTCCTGCAGCCCTGCCGGGTTTAAATAAAGCATGTTTTAGTATCCTACATGGTGCGTTTCTTCCCTGACGATTTCTGGCCGTAGGTGTTGGAGATGTTGAGGAGACGAGGCGAGCACGCCGGAGAAAGCTTCGACCCCATGGGCCTGCTGCAGAATCTCTGCCTGGTGAAGATGGACAACGTAGACGGGTTGAAACCCACCAGTGCTTCAGCGATGCCTGATAACGACGAGGGTCCAAACTCGTCCAAAGAAAACAGCAGCAAGACGGAAACGGAGATGAAAGGTGAGAAAAGAAACGGCTTTGAAATCTCACTGGAAGGAGTCGGTGCTCTCGTAAGGATGTGGATGATAAAGTATAATCTGACATCACAGTGGTGTTTATTTACGGGAGGGACAGAGAAGCGACAGACTGCAGGTTTCTGAGGAGATGATGGTTCAACCAGCAGAACCAGTTCCCTGCGATTCCAGAATATGAATAACAGCTGCAGTTTCAAGGCTTCAGCCTCAGGTTTAATATTAAAGTTGTTACAAATCTGGAAGAATAAGTTCCCACTCGAGCTCTTCGGAATCTGGCAGAGAAATCTGATATTCTTCAATGACCCAGTCAGTACTTGATCTTTTATTAAATACTAAATTGTAAGTTGTGAACAGTTGACGCAGCACTGTGAACTCTGTTTTTACAAACCTCTACAGACAGGTTTTCAGGTCCATTTCAGTAACAGACGGGCTTATTTGTGTGTTTTTAGAGCTCAGACCTCTGCTGAAAGAGAACAGCGATGCAGCAGGAAGCGGCGACGGAGGCGTTCTCCGACAGAGACCGATGTGATGATTCAGCGTGGGATTAACAAACTCAGACTTTAAATCGTTTTCTTCAGAGGAGAGAGGATGGAGAGTGTGTTTTTTGTCTGTCCGGTAGATCGTGGAATAATGGCAGGACGCTGGAGGATGATTGGCTAAAACTCCCGATGGTACTGATTTCGACTTCCTCTGAATTTTTTTTTTTTTTTTATGGACAATTTCAAACACTACAATCCTGAAAGCTTAACTTGGATTTTTACATTTTCTGACACACAATCACTGAATATGGAGCTCCTGAAAGGTCGCACTGGGAACATCTTTCCTCCTGACGATGCTTTTATGTTCCCGCTGACGTGTTTTGGTCCAGCCTTCGTGTATTATGTAATGTATGCATTGCTCATTTACACAGCCACTTCCCGAATGCAGAACTTTATAAAAACATCTGTTTATAAAAACACTGTGACCCGGTTCCCCTTATCTGCTCCCTGTGAGAATCTAGCTTCCTGCAGGGTCGTTCGTTAGGATTTTTATGCATAAACAAAGCAGGGAATCAGAGCAATGCAAGGTTGTTTTCTTTCTGTTGTACATTCACGGTTCTCGCTCTATCTGCTGAAAAATCTCCCAGGACTTCATCAATAAGCCAAAAAATAAGCCTGAACAACCTCAATGACAGATTCAGACTTAAAAAAAATATATGTGTGTGTGTATATGTTCTTTTTTTGGCCTTTGCTGTGTCTCAGGGTGTTTAACAGGCTTACTGCATGGAACATCTTTGTGGGCATAGTGTCAGAGTCTGATAAACCTGCACTTTGGGCCACAAAAACACTTCTAGTTGTCTGTGTGAAAACGGCCTTCAGTGACCTCGGTAAACACTCTCCCGATGACCTTGTGAGCTCAGCTGCAAGGTTCAGGCTATATTTAATAAAACGTGAAATTCTAACACAGTCAGTTCTGGTCCTAACTGATCACGTCGTGTTTCAAAAACAGTCATTTCAGGAGCTCCGTATGGTTCCATGATTATCAGACAAAAGTTTACCTTCCAGTCAGGGTCTCGTTCACAAGTGAGAGAAGAAGGGAGCGTCTGTGGAGACCTGAGCGTGGAATCTTTTCCACCCTCATCGTGACCGAAGTGATGAGCTTTCTCTTCCTTTAGAGACAGACGAGGCGCTGAGAGGAGAGCCGCTCCTCCTCCTGCCACTAAAACTGCTTTTAAAGTCAATATTGTCAGACTGATTGTTCCTGCGAGCTGCCTTAGTGGGAGAACGAGTTTTTCATGCGATTGTCAATCACATTTCAAGTCAACGTTAGCGCTTTAAAGGAAAATGAAAATGAAACTGGAATCATTAAAAGGTAGCTAACTCATGAACATGCAGTCGCAGTATTTGTTCAGGGTTTGGCTCCCCAGACTGATTTCCTGCTTAAGAACTGAACGTTTTTCTCATGTGTGGATGTGATTAAACTGTCCTTTGCATGTCAAGCTACAAGAAAAAGAGGTACAACTGCATGAAGCTTGGTTTTGTGTACATATTTTTTAGGTTACGAGGTTTTCTTTGTTTAACATAGACGTAAATAATCCAAAGTCAGGTTTTAGGTTTTATCGCTGTGAGAGAACTCGTGTAAATCTCTCAGATGTTCAAAAGTCTTGATCTGGAAATCAACTCGTCGTGTCTGCTGGGGGATCTCAGGGATAAAATCCTCTCACTGGACTCTGTGTGATCGTCGGTTTTTGTGTTTTTAAAGTGCCTGTGGATCTTTTTTGCATGCAATGATGAAACTTGTTCTCTTCACTCCACACCAGTGACTGTTTTCTGAACTTGTTTGTGTTTTGAATGTCATGGCTGAGTATTATTGGGATTCAGATTTGTGCAATGTGTAAAGAGAGACTTGATGTTGTTAACGTTTCCTGTGTTTCTGGATTTGAAGTGAAAGTTTGTTCATTCGTAAACACGACTGCAGTGGTTAAAACTGACCTCACCATAAACTGTGTGTGTGTTGTGTGGGTGGGTCGGGGGCTTGAGCAGATCTATACAATGCTCAAACACATGGTGCTATTTACATCCTTAAGCTCGTGCTGTTTGGTGGCCCAATCTCATCTCGGGCCAAACCAGTAAAGGACAAAAGCATCCACTCTACTTCTTCTTCTTCTTCTTCTTCTTTTTTTTTTTAGAACTAAAGATTAAAAAATTTTAAGGTTAATCTGAGCTGCAGGCAAGATTGTTAAAAAGCTGCACAGAAAAAGGGAATATTTACTGAGAGAAAGCACGCATAAACAAATAATTTGTAATTATACAAAGACTCCTGACAAAAAAAAACTGAGGGGAAAGAAGACAAAAAGGAGCTCAGAGCAGGAGAAAAGACAAAGTACAGGGGAGAGCATCATAGAAGCCGTCAGCATCTAAGACCTGTTGCAGCATAACTATGGGAGGTTTCAGGGTCACCTGATCCGAACTGGGAACTGGTTCCACAGAAAGCTGAGGGTTCTGCCTCCTGAAACCACGAGTAAGGCCTGCAATCTGAGAGCAAAGTGCTCCCTTGGTTAATATAATACTACAAAGTCTTTAACATATGTCTGTCATGGCTGTGTGCAGGGAGAGAGGATCCAAAATGCAGGACTCACAAACGCAGAGACAAAAAGTTGAACAGCTTTATTGCTGTGCACAAACTGAACTGGGAATACAAAAAAAACTAGCAAACAGAGGTGGTATGAAGGTACGATGCGACAGCGAGCAGATGAAGATGCAGACACTAAATACAAGAGGTTTACAGAGCTAAGCGGAAACAGCTGGGAGACACAGCTCACGCTGATTACACTGACGAGACAGGGAGAGCACAGACCTACAAAGTAAAACAGGAAGTAAACAGACGAGACACAGAACTTAACAGCCGCAGACTAATTAGCAGACATAACATCGTGGACAGACAGAGGGAACACAGAAAAGTGGGACCAGGGGAGGCACAGAACAGAAACCTACCAAATGGCAAATCTTAACGGAATAAACAATCAGAATAAACAAGAACATAATAAAGAAACACAAAACACTGAGTCACCAGACTCAGGACCACGACAATGTCAGGCTGAATTTTCAGATTATTTCATAGGACTGCAGCGTGAGGACCTCTGACTGTGGGACAGCATCTGTGGGAATTCCAGTAATCCAACATGTCTATTAAATCACTGTGAGACACCCAACCTTCATGTTTCAACAACATAAGATAAACATGATTCCCATGAATGTGCGTCGTGCTTTTGATATGAGCACCTCTGCTCCATTAACCTCCAGCTTACTCACCAGAACAGATTCAAACTTTTACTAAAAATGGATGTTTTCTTTTATTATTGAAGAGGATAAAATTCAAGAATTGAATAATCTACATTAATATTATATTAATGTGTTATAAGAATAATTCAATTCACATCATCTTTAGTTAGCAAGGTGAGGAACAATATCTCTCCTTCTGTCTACCTCTTGTCTGCTCCAAACTCTTTTAGTCCTGTTACTTTAGAAAGGATTTTACCAGTGTCCTTACCTGAGCTGCTCAAATTAGTTGATTCAATGACATCGTCCTCCTGCGCTCTCGATGTTTTATCTGGACCTTTGTTTAAAAATGTCTTTCAGTCCATTGGTCCTAGTGTGCTTACAGTTATCAATGCCTCTCTGCTTTCTGGTCAGGTCCCTGTTTTTTGTAAAAGTGCTGTTATTCACCCACCGTTAAAAAACGCCCAAACTTGATGCTTCTCTGCTTATCAACTATAGACCTATCTCAAAATTACCATTTATTGCCAAGGTTTTAGAGAAGGTTGTGGCCAAGCAACTCACAGCAGTTCTTGATGATCATAACATTCTTGATAATTTCCAATCTGGTTTTCGTAGAGCTCGTTCCACCGAAACTGCACCTCTTAGAGTGTCCAGTGATATATTGATGAATTATGATGCTGGCGAGTGCACTGTTTTACTGTGGTTGGACCTGCCTTTGATACTGTCAACCATCATATTCTGTTAGATAGACTAAAACACTGGGTGGGTATATCAGGAACTGCTTTGGAGTGGTTTAAATCCTATCTGTGTGACGATCCTTCTCTGTGGCTACCTCCAAGTTCAGGTCCTCTCTCGCTTCTCTTGCCTATGGTGTGCCACAAGGTTCTGTCTTGGGACCCTTACTATTTTTTTGTTGTATTTATTCCCTCTTTAGGAGATTCTCAGCACTTTTAAGGACATTTCGTATCATTGTTATGCAGATGATATCCAGCTATTATCTCCTTTAGGCCACATGATGTTTCTAAACTTCAAAACTTGCAGAGATGCTTAGATTATATCAGAGGTTGGATGGCTGATAATTATCTTCGACTTAATGCTGAGAAAACAGAAGTCCTTGTCTTTGCTCCTGATAAATTTGTACCTTTGGTAGTAAAAGATTTAGGCCCCCTCGCTTCTTTTGTTAAATCTTCTATTAGGAATCTTGGTGTTACATTTGACTCAGCTCTGTCCTTGGATATTCATGTTAAATCTCTGGTCCGCTCCTGTTTCTACCACTTAAGAAATATTGCTAAGCTGAGTCCTATTGCGTCACGTTCTGAACTTGAAATGATTATACATGCTCTTTCATGTTTCATGTTGTTTAGAACATTGTAACTCGTTGTGTATCTGTCTAAGTAATGCTTATACTTGGAACGTCTGCAGGGTGTTTAAAATGCTGCTGCAAGGCTTTTGACCAAGGCTTCCAGGTACTCCCATGTCACTCCCCTGCTGATCCAGCTGCATTGGCTCCCCATTAAATTCAGGGTCCATTTTGAGATTATAATTCTGACCTTCAGGGCTCAGCACAGACTACCTCCAATTTACATCAGTGATCTTCTTCATCCTTAAATTCCCAGGGCCAGGGCTTGCTGATTGTCCAGCACACCACATTAAAAGAAAAGGTGACAGAGCTTACTCTACTTTAACCATTTTATAGATTTTTGTACATAAATAATTTCCAGCCTAAATGATGCAGAAAAAAAGTACATATTCACATCTGAGCTTAATTTCAGATTGATCTGCTGAAATGTTCATTTTACATTTCTTTTAAAAAAATGTTCACACTATGAAATTATATTTATAACAGGAAAAATTCTAAAATAATAGTTTTGATTCAAATAAAACTGCAAACTTTTATTCAACGAATTCAAACCATTTTTTTCATTAATTGAGTTGCTGTTACTCAAATGGTACTGCGCTCTCTGATTGGCTTACTGGTGACCGCGTGTGGCGCTTCGAAGAATGGCACTTTTCCTCCGGAGTTTTGCAGAGGTTTTCTTTGGGATTATGTAGCACGTTTTAACCTTGAAGTGCCCCACCCCTTCCGTCCCTTGTGTATCTTATCTTATCTGTGCTGTTTGCCACGTTTATTACCTGCCTATAAAGCTGACCTGCTTTGACTTTTACATTTTAAGGTAAGTGGTTTAGAAGCTCATTTACACAACTCACATGTTTTTCTTCCGAGCATGACGGGAAAATGCGCAGTGACATAAATTATTCAACAGGGGGCGCTGATATTTGGTTACATTAGAATGACCATTATGTATATATTTTTTAATGCGTTTGGAGTTTATGTGTTGAGGAATTGAGGAAAAATATGTATATTGATAAAATAATAACTTTTAAAAAACTACAAAAAGTTCTTGTGTCCAGATTAATGAGTAATTTTGGTTCATTTGCATTTTCCTCTTGTGGTCATTAGATGAGGGAGGTGATTGTAATTTTCAAATGGCGTGTATTTGTGTAGCGCTTTACTAGTCCCTAAGGACCCCAAAGCGCTTTACACATCCAGTCATCCACACATTCACACACTGTTGGTGGCAGCTACATTGTAGCCACAGCCACCCTGGGGCGCTCTGACAGAGGCGAGGCTGCCGGACACTGGCGCCACCGGGCCCTCTGACCACCACCATCAGGGTGAAGTGTCTTGCCCAAGGACACAACGACCGAGACTGTCTGAGCCGGAGCTCGAACTGGCAACCTTCCGATTACAAGACGACCTGCCAACTCTTATATAAAAATATTGTGGTTTATTAAACTAAACTATAATTTATAGTATATTTATACTCTATAGCACTTGTACTAACACGTGCATGTGCGCCGGACCCGCGTGATTTTGCTGTCTTTAGCAGGTAATAAACTCCCGCCAAAGCAAAAATTTGCTCAGAGTGAATTCAGTCGTTGTTAATGAGTAAATCTTTCGAGTGTTTTTGTTTGGATTGTTTTCTGGTTGTTTGTTGCACTCGGACATGTTCACAGACGTGTTTTCGTGAGCAGCGCTGTTCATACTCCGAGACCGTAGCGGGAAACTGTTGGTTGCCTAGCAGCAGTTAACGAAAAGACCGGAAGTCACTGTGCTTCAACTAGAAAACTTTTGCATTTATCCTCTTTTCCCCGAGTATCAGACAAACCCGTTTAGCAGCGTGCTTGACCTTTGAGTTAGCTGAACTTCCTGGTGGTCTGTTGGTGGATTTAAGGAGGTTAAATGGATGAAAAAAGTTATCTTTCAGCTAGCTCTTGTTGCGCAGATGGAGCAATGCATGATGGGAAATTCTCCCGGTATTTGTAAAGCTAAATAACCTTATGGGGCTCTGTTGGAA